AGGTGGGAGACCCTAGGTAGGTGAGGTAACCCGCCTACAATGCAGGTGGGATAAAAAAAATAACCATCGTTTACGTACAATTAACCTTATAACCCCACTATCCAGGGGTGCACTTTCTCAAGAATATTGAATGGTCAGTAAGCATGTAAATAAGAAAAATGCTGGCAAACCACGTGTTTTAGCGATTAGTGTTACTACTACTCTCACTTGCTGCACTTACTACATCCTTCAGTGCTGTGGCTTTCTATTGTTACCTTTATGATGCAAAACCACCGCCAAAGTGAATTTTGCGCGAATTTGATGTATCACGAATCCGACCGCCGGCTTGAAGGGTCACTTCACCTATCATGTAAACGTGATTGAATTAAAATGACAGATTATATGGACAGGAGGGTCACCCCAGCTAAGTGGGCCATTACCATACCAACCTGCCCAACCTCCCCACCCCACAGGCCCTTAAAAATTGCATTCAGGCTGCGTTTCAAACTTTATTCCTAGTATCGCCCTTATTCCATCTCGTTCAATCTGCCAAATGCTGGCAAAGTTCTTTTTTCGGGGTTAAAATTCCAAAGGTCCCTGTCAAAGTTTAGAAAAAGAAATAAAAATCGTTGTCTTACGTTCAGGTACTCCATAGAACGTGAAATTAGGACGTTTCACGTCGTAGTCGTGCAACGTCATGGTAAATAATTTACGTTCCGACTCGTTGCGGTAGCTGTCATCGTTGACGGCCTTGACGGACAACGATCAATTAAAATAAATAAGGAGGGGAACGGAATTTTTTTAAGCTCAGTTTTTTTAAAATCCCCGGCATTTCTCTTATTATCCTTTTTTTTTCCATCACAACGTAATACACAAGTTTTTTTTTTTTCTCTTGTTGCAACAAATTTGGAATATAGAGCAGGAGAAAGACAGAGAAAAAGAGAAAGTAGGCGGCAGGCCAGCGAAGCTCAACGAGAAAAAGGGCGACAGAGGTCTAGAGCGAGAGATAAAAAACACAGAAGACATATTTTTTTTGTTGGAAGAGCAACATGAAAACTTTGTAGCGACGGTGACAAAATGGGAAATGCCAGTGGCCACCAATGCAAGGTGAAAATGAGCGGGCAGGGAAAAAAAAGTTGAACGAGAACACGTACGACATTTCCTCCATAAAACCTGTAACCAAGAAGTTTCTGGAAGTTTCACGTTGTAGTGGTGCAAAACAACAGTAAAGAATGTACAAAAAAGCGTGCTGTACTTGCAAAATTGCTATTTTCGCTAATTAGACCGATTGCTATTTTTCACCGTTCTCCGGCGTTGCCTTCTCGCTTAGCACTACACGATTTTATATTTTGTTTGAACAAACCAGGGGTGGATCTAGGGGAGGGTGCAGGGGGTGCGCCCCCCGAGATGACCTGCGGTTTTCTTATACAGCTGGTATTCTGCAAAAAAAAAAACTATGTGGTTTATTGCTGTCGAAGTAGAGCAAGAGACGAGTGCACCCCCTCCTAAAAAAAAATCCTGGATCCGCCCCTTCAAACTATAAATGTTATCGAAAGCTACGCTTTTGACCCTGGCTAAATCTATATACTATTTATATTTACCACTAAAACTCTAGAAGGAAATAACAACGAACAATTTTAACAAAGGTCACACGAAGCCGTTCACGCTTTCCCTTCAGTGAAAACTGTGACAATTTGTCCTGCGACTTAGCTTGGTAAGGGAAAGATGCAAATACTGGACAAAAATTGCAAATGCAAATTCGAACCCTTGAGTTTGGTTCGTCAAAATGTAAATAACAATATTCGCACTGAATCAGTGTACTATTCATGCTATTCATGGAGGTATGAACGGTCCGCATTAGTTTGGGAAAATTAGCATAACGTCAAAAGAGTAAGGCCCCGTCCTCACGTATCCGGAGATTTTTGTATCCGCAATTTTTTTTATGCGAATACAAAAATATCTGCGTCCACACGTAGCGTATACGAATTGTATACGACCGTCCACACGAATCCGATTCGTATCCAGACATCTCAAAGGATTAGTCAACAGAGCATGCGCATTACAAAGAAAGCTGAGCCTGCGATAATTTTGGCGCCATATTCGCGGCTTTCTTTCTTTCTTTCTTGTTTGTTTACTTGAGGTTTCAACACGTGTGAGCTTGAAGAGCGAAAAAAATTCCTGTTAAAAAACACCATAAAAAATGTCTCAATTAAGAGAAAAACAGAAAAAAACCAGCTAGGTGTCTTCCCGCTCTTTTGAGAAGTCTTTGGCGTCTGATTCCAGAATCAGATATGGCTAGAAGCCGCATAATGCTTAGACGTCTTCTCATGTAGTTAAAGTTTAGATTTAACATTGCAACATTTAGTTCGAGACACGCTATTAGGCTTGAAAGTAGTCCTAGTAGCATTGAACACACAACGTTTCTGCTCGCCGCCATTTTGGAAAATCTCGCGCGGAAAAAGACTGGTTCTGGTACTGTGACGTCAGCGTATACAAAAATATACGGATACGAGCGTTTACACGTATCCGGATACACAGCGTATACAGAAATTTCCAAGCAGCAAAATATGATATTAAACAGCATTCTGATGCTACTTAAGACAAATTTATATTATTTACAACTTTTTTTACTAAACAATTTATCCCAACTATTGAAAATATAAGGTTTGTAATACATTTACGTTTTATTTGAAATCAAATATACACAAAGTTTTTTATTTCTTACGGAGGTTATTTGCTAAACACCACAAGTTCCTGGTGTCGGATTTTGAGTAGCAGGCCTAAATCGCTGAAAATTCGGCTATTATTGATTTCATTTTTTAGTCTATTGTTGCCATAGTGATATCGATTTTACTTAAAAAGCCCAAAGTCAGTAAGTGTTGAAAATTTCATCGCCATCGACAAGGATAAAACGACTTTTAAGGCGATTGAAAAATATCGGTATAATCTCCGATAAAACTGTATGGAAAACCCCTTTAGTGACAACCCCATACAGGGGACACAAAATTTGGTCCGGGAAAGAAGTCCACATGATCTTTATATCTGTTACCTATATTGAAGGGACACCTCTATTTAAGGGAAAGGGACAGGTTTTCTTGGTCCTGAAACCTGGGTTTAACCACTATTCAGAGGACACCTTAGCACTCAAAACGTGACTGACCACAAAGAAGGGTGATATCTTTAAGTGTACACTAATGACCATGATGGCCGCTTTCACAAACTGAACTATCTCACTTACATCGATATACTGCAATATTTTTTTTCGTCTTAGCTTTTTAAATAAGAAGCAGTTTCTTCCTTCCAAAAGTAAATACTAAAGTACTTAAGCAAGAATAAAATTAGTACTAAAATCACACTTTTCATCGATCTTTGCCAAGGAACTTAAACTATTATTATTAGTTATCAGTATATTTTCTTGCGTGTATGAATTCGAATTTTTGAATGAAATCTGTGCATTGGTCATCTTTTTCATTTCTTATTTTCCCAACAGGTTACAGTGGCTACCAGTATTTTTATGATTCCCAGGCATTCCTTTTCTCGCTGGTGAACAAGCCAGGATGGGCACCTGTGAAACTGCCTCAGACAGGGAAGTATAGTTCTTACCGCTATTCAATACCCGACTGCTCGTCTTATGGACCTTCTTTCGGAGGAGGCTGGGACATTTACATTACCGACTACGCGTCATCCAGTAGCAGTAACTATGCCAACCTTGGCTATACTTACAGCGCACCAAGTGGGTACAGCTATGGAAGCACCTTCACCCGGACATTTCTGGCAGGCACTTATCAGTTTACTCCCGACGAAGTAGAAACATTTTACGAGACAACCTAAAAACTGAAGCATCGTATTCAGGTTCAAACGTGACAGTCACTTAATATTACACTGATTAAGCCAGGATAATATTTTTTATAAATCAGGCACTGAGAAAAGAAATACATTTTAATTTGTCAATTCAGTATTGAGACCTGTATGTTACAGTATAAAACTTGTACCACCCTATTAAACTGATCTTTAATCTAAACAAATGTTCTTTATTTATTTCTTTTCAAACATTTCTCCTCGTCTGATTTGCAAACTATACACCTGTTGCGGTTTTTAGCTGTCTAGTCAAATTTGGCATTTTAAGCCTATATTATTTTACATGTTTCGTTTTATGTTTTACCTGGTTTTCTTGATCACGAAAGACTATTAAATTGATATTTGGTAACCACTGGTGCGAGCGCTAGGTGAATATGTTGATATCCCCCTACTGTGGTGCTACGGCTGAAACTGATGTAACTCGAAGAATTTTCAAGAAAGGCTTATGAGCATGGGAATAGTTATCTGAGCCCAGTAGAAATTCATTTTGGCAAATCCTAATAAAAGAATTATAGTTCAATGTAGACCTTCATTAACAGCACCGTAGACCGATAGACTATAGGTCAAATCAGGTATAACGATTTTCAAACAGATCGTCTAATTCTGTCTGAGTATAACCCTCCTTCCTTAACGATCTCAGTATAAAAAGACATTTGTTAGCTTTAATTGGCTTATTCCTTACATGTGTAGTAGATCGGCAATCTTCTTGAAAAGTAGCAACACTAATGGATAGGGCTCTGCTTTGCGAAATACCTGACAAGAGAAAGAAGAAAAACCTGTGTACAATGCCTTTTTTTCTTAGAAATAGAAGTTGAACAATTTTTGATGTCCGCCATTTGTAATGCGGCAATCAGCCTAAACAGAATTAAGTACTCAAAAAACACTACAAGGAAAGATAGCATCAAATACAATTCATTCATTTCAAACATTCAGCGTACATAGCCTGCGTGGTAGGCATAAAAAAGGGAGGGGGAGAGGTGAAAAGCGCCAAAGGGAAAAAGGAAGGGAGCGCCGTCTCCTCCCTCTCTCCCCAATCCCCCTCCCTTTTTCCCTTCCTCCCTATCCCCTACCCCTTTCGACATCTGCTACGCAGGCCACAACATACACCGAGTCAGGTACTTTCGCCGACTCTGGAAGAGAGGAGCAGATTTTTTCCAAAACCGGTTCATCATATAAACGTCCCACTCCAGGTCCTTCACACAGAGCAAAAGAAAACTGAGGTAAAACAGCATCTCATCAGAGACAAATTCCTGTCAAACCCAATAAAACAAAAAAATAATTGATCATTGAAACAGGTCAGCTTCGTGACCTTACAATGTGTAGCCTGAATTTCAGCCGTCTCCTCGAGTGACAAACTTCCTAGATAGACGTCTGAAAGGACTGGTTGCATTGTTAAAGCCGTCAAGTGAGCGGTGAAGAGAGACACAAAGTGCCGAGAAAAAAGTCTAATTATTAGACGCTATATTACCTTTTGCAGATTTCCGGAGCTCTAGATAATTTTACCAGGTTTGTAACAAATTCACGTAAGGGTTTGACCGGTCATGACCGGTCAAGTTCATACACTTCGATTCTCAGTAAAAAGTAAGGCGATTTGCATCTTCAACTGCAAAATTTGACGGCAATTAAGGTCACAAGTAACTCCTCTGCGCTCTTTGTTTCTTCTGATAATCGTGTGAGGAATTTTGATAAATAATAGGCCATTTCCGAGTTGCTCCAAGCCTCTGTTTCAAAGCGAAGCCAGGTGCCGGAAGCTAATGCTATGAAAACAACTTTTGAATTCTCATGCAAATAAAAACCCTTTTGCACAGTAAAGGTTTCGCACTTAACTGGAACTCGGAGATGGCCTATTCACCAAGCCAAGAAATCAGTGGGTCCGGTATGTCTCTCACATGCCCTGAATATAAACCTACGGATTCGTCAAAACACCCACACCAATCGTGCCATTGATAAAACAAAACGATTTGTCAAAGAATTAAGCCTTGCGATTCGTACAATTTGAGCAATTTGTACGAATAGTGAGTTCCTCAGTCGATTGGTATGACCATTTTTGGTCAACTGCCTGCTGTATGTCATTAGCGGCTCAGGTGGCTTCAAGATACGCGCAATGGCGCGAAGTTAGACTGCATCTCATTACAGGGACACCCAATGACTTGATTCTGCAAAATAACTGTTACAAAGCGGCAAATTGATACTACCTCGAAATCTCTAAAGCTCCAGAAAGGCTAAAAATTTCTGGATAATTGTTAAGCTCGCCTAAGATATGCGGAGTCTTTCTTTAAACCAACTTTCCTACGTTTTTCAGAGATTTTTGACAGTTCATATTTATTACCAAGATATCGTGATTATTGTTCAAAAAAAGTCTTCTGAAAATTTCGGTATAACAAAACGTCACTTATGAAAGGACTGTTACTCCATGTCCTCGAACTTAGTCTTCCGGACCCATCAGGATAACCATCTAAAGCGTTCGAGACCACCAAAGTCCCCTTTTAAGACATCGGAACAGATCAACAGTTTTTGGGGCAGCTTCAAATTAATCAAACAGGCTTCTAAATCAATGAGAAAACCATCTGAAACAAATCTGACGAATTTAAAAATAAAAATGGTCGTTGGTTGCCCATATGTCATCATTAACACCTGAAAGCCCTGCAAGATCCATCTGTACATGTCGATTGGTACCAAGGGAATGTTGCTTTGAAAGAGCTCTAAATGTGTTTGAAATAATTGTTGAATGTAAGATTACAAGGACTGCAAAACAGTAAAAGCAATCACTTTTTTACGCCTCGGGCTTTTCCACTGTACCCGTATGATACAGCTTTTCAAAGGTTATTGTAGAGGTTATAGATGAAACCTGTGAAGTTGATGTTGAGCTAAAAACAAAATCATCCATTAACGTTCAAGTCAAATGTTCAGTATATGGATTAAGGTTTTGTCCTGCACATAATCACACTGAAGAGAGACTAAGGGTTAAAAACTGTTTCATCACTTATTTTCCAGACACATGTCAGTCCTTCATCAGTAATAAATTAGTTACAGTGGAACCCCGCTAATGCGACCACCGTTGGCCCATAAAATTCAGGTCGCACTAACTTAACGGGGTTCCACTGTTACGAAATAACTCAGTGATTCTTAAGTTTGGGTCGAAAGAATAATGTTCGTGTAAACAAGGTGGTCGTATAAACAGAGTGATCGTAAGGCGTGGTTCCACTATAGTGCTTGCTACTGTCTTGCAACCGATCATATTAAATTATTTTATAATTTTATAAAGTTGTGTATATGTTCAATGTAATATGCGTAATAAAAGAAGATCTGTTTTGGTTCAGCAAGGATAAAATACTTGAGAGATCTTAGCAAGGATTAATGAGCACAAAATACCCCACACAATACCCTTTTGGTTGTGTTCTGATCTTACATGTATACAAGCCAAAAATAACTGACTTCCTTATTTTGAGGTGCCTTGCGCCTATTATCCTGTTAACCAACCAAAGAGAGGTTCTGTAAGTCAGGGTGAGTGCTTTTTTCATTTGAGATGTTCATGCCTAGATGAATAAAGGCTTCATCATATTTTTGTGGAGATGCTAACAACGTTGCGGGAGTTTTTTGACCAGATACACGGTTGGTCTGGCCTGCATGCCGAAACTGCTAACAACGCTATGTGCCACAGTCATTATGATTTCGTTCTAAATAACAGCTAAGGCCACCCTCTTTTTTTCTCCTTTTAGCGTTGTCCGACCGACCCATATTTTTGGCATTAAAAAAAAAAAAGTAACGACGTAGTTAAACCATTTTTCACTTGAAAATAATTCTTTTAATCTTAAAAATGAGCATAGTAACAGCAAAGAGAACGACAGGAACAAAAACATGAACACTTTTTAAAGTATACAATTGTGCCTTTTATTAATCCAAATATGTGAATGTTAACTTTTAACGTGGTCCTGGGGTACCAGGGCCTACTATTCCGAGACTTCTTGTGATTTTTTTTGTTTTTTTTTGTCCAATCCGACCGACAGACCCAATATCAGAAAACGCATTCGACGCTAAACGAAAAACAAAGCGGATGGCCTAAAACCTTTATTGGCGTATTCGTTCAGGTCGCTCCAAATTCCTAGTAGTTTTTTCGAAAAGTTCTTTTACCGTTTTCAGGTTAAAAAGCATTTTATTGCATTAGTTAGGAAGCAAATGTGCAATTTTTGTCTTTCCAATTTTATGCTGTGAACTTAAATTGACAGTTTTTGTAAATGACGTTTTCTTCCCACATTAATTAAAATAAAATAAGTATGTTTTATTGCCGTGTCATTTCAATGTTCATTTTTATTTTAAAAAATTGAAATTTTATTTATATTTTGATTGTCAGTCATAATTTTGCAAGGTGTTATGAAGCTTTTTTTCCTTTCGCGGACAGTAACAGAATGACGGCGCGTGAGTGAAATGTCTGAAAATGGTTTACATAAAAGATTTTTCGATCATTTTACCGTCAGACACGTCACTTTGCCAGAATGACTTCGCCTTTTTGGAATACGTTGTATATGGTTGTTACGTTTATAATTTGTAGTTGAAATATAGCGCACATTTAGCCGTATAAATACACAGCATGCAAAGGGCAGTTTGTGTAGCCGGACTGCAAAATTATATGATTATTCGTAGGGGAAAATGTTAAATACGTTATCATTCTTCCTGGGTCAGTTTCGCCAGAAGAAACAAAAAGTATTAACTGAGTATCAGATATTGTGATGTATAATTTAAAGGGTAGTTTACACGTAACGGTTTGACTGGCCGAGTTTGCAAAGAAAACATACAAATAAATGGATCAATATTGTTAAATAGGAACAAATTTTTGATTTTACATCTAAATCGTTAAAAAATTAATATTTTTTAATGGTTTCATCAAAAAAATTGTTGCGAAGCGTATCATACAGAGTGCAAGAAAACACATATAACATGACATTCATTTTCAACTTCATTAGCTTGACATATGGAACAAATTCTTAAGTCTTCGGGAGTCTTTAGTGCCGTATATCTCCCTGTTTCGATACGAAGTCGATGATTTCCTAGGCGAAATTCATTAATAGCAGATCTATGGAGATGATTTTTTATTGCATCTCAGTAGAAATTCGGTTCTGTTGGTATCTGTTTTAAAAGTATTGTAAAAATTAAATTTCCTGTTCGAGACAAGAATTAAGAGATGGTGGTTGATTAAAGCTTTGGACAAATTTTGAGCGACACTGGAGATAAGAGTTTTCACTTACCGTTGTTTTCATTTAAAATAATGCATGGAGCATGAACTTTATTTATCACATAATATTTTAATCTTTTGTGATATGCCTGTCTGATTTTTCTCAGCCATATCCTTTGAAAGTTGTAAATCAAAAGTATTAGGGAGGACGTGCTTATTTAGTAAGAGTACATTACAAGAAGATAAATGGTAAATTCAAAATACCAACTGACTGTACAATAAAGCGTAGCGTCCATTGTCGACTACATTAATTACCATCGATCAACCACCAATAAAGCACCAGAAATAAAGCAGCCCTAATGCACTTTGAAGAGGTTTGTACTTAATCAAAGGTGTCGGAAAACAGACAGTGTTTCATGTGTTGATACAGTGTTTCAGGTGGTCATACTAAGCAATATTCTTTGCTTCAAAATCGATCGTGTCTTCAAATTTGATTAACTCAGTGGTGAGTGGAATTTTTACTTTTCTCGCTATACTAGGTGCTGAAAAAACACAATTGTTAGGAGTATTGTAGAAGGTCAAACCCTTTTGGCAAAGAAAATTAGTATTTAAGATAATAATATATTTTTTTAAAGTTAGTTAACAGTGTAGGTGGATCTCATGATTACCGAAGAAAATCAAATTTGCGAAAAGAAATCATTTAAAAAGCCAGTGAATGTTAGCTAAGCTCGCTTATCTATAAGTCATCCAATTGAAAAGACCGTTCTTTTGAGTTTCTTTTTCAAACAAAGCGATGGGAAATTATATACTTATGTTGTGAGCTATCGGGTTATATTACGTACACAACATTTAGGCTGCGGCCCTTCCAGTAGTTGCACGATACTTCCCTGTGTTTTGATCTTTTTGTTTTCCAACCGCGATTGGCTGTGAAGCAGAAAAATGGTCCCTCAAAAAATTTCAACTTTCTGAGCTTATCATTATACGATAAACAACGATATTTTTCATTAGAAACAGCATTTTCGGTCGACCTTCAAGAACCGATGGAGATCAATCTTAAACAATAAGTAGCATTCATGCTTTTCATAGGATCGCAGACGCAATTAACGTCCTTTTTATTATTATTCAAAGAACCTACCAATTTTGAAAGGGAAACTCCAATTATTAAAATCTGAACAATTTTAAAAAATCATTGCCTAAGCAGCAGCCGGCTACCAATTCATTTATTACGAAATTAATAACCTCGATTCTGGCGTTCAAATTCTGCACAGCTGGGGGTCTGTTTAGGTGGTTCCGTGTGAACACAATACCTAACATAAACGCTATTGGTGGAAATTTCGTCCACAGCCGTGTGAACGTAACATTTGCATAGGTCTGCATACATTTCAGGCGTGCAGCTAACAGGTATTAAAGTTTTGTGGACTTCCTAGTTTTATTCGCATTCTTCTATCGATGTATGTCGTGTTCTGGGAAGAGCTTATTAATATAGTCTCTACATTACACTAATTTTGTCTTGACTTGGTCTTTCTTGAAAATCGTCTCATTAAAAATAATGTTAATAATTAAGTAAATAAATTAGTAATTAGATAAATAACTGAATAAATGAATAGATGAATAAATAAATTAATTAATGAATTAAGAGAAATTTGAGCCAGCCTAGCATATCAAAGATAATGTAAAGGAAATTCGATCGTTTCATTTAGCTGCAGTCGGTTTTTCTTTTCCAGGTCGAATTTTTTCAATTACCCACCTGTTAACTAACCAAAAACACGTTCTGAAAGTCAATGTAAGTTAGGTACATTTTTTTTATTCAAGCTCATACCCGTATGACTAAATGTTCAATAAAATGAGTATGTTTTATCTTAGCCTTTTTTATGGTCCTAATTAGGTCCTAACCAGTCTGCAATAGACGAGATGACTGCCGTTTGCGGACTGCCGTGGTGGACTGGACTACAGAGGAACGACACCATTGCTTACGTAAATGACATTTTACTCGCCGCTGTCAATGGATCTTCTGCCACTTTCGCAATCCTTAGTAACCTGGCAATCATTGCAACAATCATCAAGACCCCTACCTTACAGAAGCCGAGCAACATTCTACTGTGTAGCCTGGCTTTTGCAGATTTACTTACTGGAGTTACTGTTCAGCCTTTGTTTGTTGTGTGGCGACTCTTTCTTCAAAGAGCCCAGAAATCATGTCTACATCAAATTCTGGTCTTTGACGTGTATCATACTTTCAAGTACTTTGCCGTTGGCTTATCTTTCGTCAACATTGTTCTAATAAGTTTTGATCGCCATTATGCCCTGTCAAAACCTTTGGAATATATTGTCAAAGTCACTAAATCAGGTAACAGGCGTCAGGCCGGACTTTTATTGCCCTCGCGGGGTTCCGGCCCAGCGAAACTCAGGGGGGCACCCTAAATTCCCACGCGTAGAGAAGTATCGTTTTTTCCTTGTATTGGTAATATGCGAAATCTTCTCGATTTGAAGAAACTAGGCGCGCAAGGTGGTCCCGGTTAATTTTTTAGAACGCGCCCAAGGCGGTCTTGGGAAATTATGGAAACACGTCATTCTTCAACTTCAACCCGATCTCGGCTTTTGTTTTTTCTTTTCCACCGAGACTTGAGAGCTAAGTATAAATAAAACTAAATTGTTCTATTTTGAAAAAGGGTCCGAGCTCGGACTAGATTACAGAAGCTCTCCATAGAAGCCTAACAGGCTAGGTCCGTTAACTTTTGGACAACTGAACAAATTGCCCACCCATTGCCCGTTGGCTTATCTTTCGTCAACATTGTTCTAATACGTTTTTATCGCTATTATGCCCCTGTGAAAACCTTCGGAATATATATTGTCAAAGTCACTAAATCAGGTAACAGGCGTCAGGCCGAGCTTTTATTGCTCCCGCAGGGTTCCGACCCAGAGGCCGGAAAACGAGAAGGCAAAAAGGGGCGGAGCTCTCGATAGAAGCCTAACATAGAAGCTAACATAGAAACCTAACAGACTAAGTTGAAATGTACCAATTTTTTTTTTCTCTTTTGCAGGGACAATGAAAATCGCCGGTCGCGGGTGCATAATCTGGCTGCTGATGACAATCCTGATTGTATTTTTTTTGCCTCCTCTGCCTGGCTTCATTATGTTGTGTATCTTTGGTGTGCTGTTTCTCGTTGTCCCTCCTGTAAATTATATGAGATTACTATTCTCTCTTCGTCGTCATAACGCTCAGCTGCGTGATGAAGTTACATCTCAGATGTCGACAATATTTCAGCGCGAGAAGAAAGTTACACTTAATATGTGCATTGTCACCGGCTTGCTGTTTGCTACTTTACTGCCAATTGGTTCCATGGAGATTTTTCACAAAGGATATCCGCGAATACACTCCATTCTGTTACCCTGGAGTATTACAATGACGTTTATTCCGCCCTCAACTAATCCTATTATTTACTTTGGACGCAGCAAGAACATGAGAAATGCCTTTAAATCCATCATGAAAATCTAAAGGTCCAAGTTCTTTTAAACAGAGGGCTTTCTTGACATAACTATAGAATTCATTGCCAGTGAAGGGGATACATATATCAGGCATGAAAACGTTTGACCAATATTAACTCTTCAGTGACTCTTTGCATGTCTCATAGCGTCAATAACCGATTGAGACTTTATAGTTAATTCATTTAATTTTGACAAGTGTAAAATCTAGGCGCTGAAATTATGTATTTTAACATATCAATATTAGTTATTTTAACACTTATGAAGACTTTGAAGTCAATTAAGTAATCTATTAAGACTTGAAGATTACTTAATAAACATTGTAAATGGTGATCTTCTGCCTCCTTGGTCATGTGATAGAATCTCAATCAAACTTCAACTTACAGGTAAGTCTCGTTTAATTTTCCAATTTTAAGCGTACCTGTTAACTATCTTAGTGAGGTACTTTACTTTTTATATTTCTGGCTTATAAATATACTGTATGTTATAAGCAGATGTTCCGTTTTCGTGCATCTCCACGGTGACACTTCTTTAATTAAAATATGCTTAATTAGAGTTTTTGATAGTTGACAAGGCCTCGTTTGGTCTTAAAACTGGCCCTTTGGCTCCAAATAGAATTCAAAACAAAAAGCAATATTATCTGTGTACATCATCATATAACACGATTTTCTGCGGCTGGCAATTTCTGTCTTGTTAATTCAATATGTTGACGTTCGTGTATCTGTTTTTTATTGCTTTTCAACCCTGTTATTGTATTTTTTCATTTTATTTTATTTACTTTTCCTTCCAGCCTCGATTAGCTAGGCTATTTTGCGGGCAAGGATCAACCTTTAACTTGTTTGTCTTGCACGTGTTGTTCAGTTTGGCGAAAATAACACTCAAATCATAATGGCGGCGTGCCCATTACCGAACAATTCAAACTTGTCTCAAACGCTCAAGAAAGCAAAATATTTAAAGGTAACGTAACTACTATCAAGTGTTCCAACAATTTTCCACGGCGGTATAGTGTCGAAATTACCTACACAAGCTTGAAGTAAACCGAAACTTTAACCATGTATACCTCTGAAAACGGCTCTTTCCGAGCGCAAAAATCACTCTGCAAATAACGCATTCTGATTGGTCGAATCTCATGACGCACATTTCCTGGCAGCATGTACTGACAGGTAAAAATGAATGGCTTGATAATAATGACCTTCTTACGCGGCATTCACTAATTATGTGTAATTGAACAATAGCACAACAGAATTGCTCCGTTCAACAAAGAAGACCTTCCTGGGTAAGATAAATGTCTTAGGATAAGCAAGCAGCATCTAACTTTACTTTGACAAACTGGAATAACTATATTTAATTGCTTAACGTATCGTAACGTAACAACTAATTCCGCCCAGGTCACCGCTACTAGTGTGATACGTATATGTATACGTACATGTCTTTGCATGCAAAAACAATTCTTTAACTGACCAAGGTCTTTAAGGTGGCCTGAACCCTTTCATATGCCCGTTGGTTATGTTTTTGAATCGCGTTTCTCGGCATGAAAGATTTAACCAATATCTTTGATTTTTGACATACTTAATCAAGAATAGTGGAGGTATAGGTATAAAACGTTTGAGATATTCGCATGTGTTACAATAAATGTCACTAACTTCGAAACCCTAAGGCAGATTGTTCTCTAACTTTTTTAGCAAATTAGCCTCAGTTCTAGTTATAAGAAAATGTTTGTTGAAGAATTACGGTAGCCATCGTAGCAATTAACAGCTGATTAACACGATACGTATACATGTTTGTACCAATGTCATTTTAAGCGTTCCTTTTGATTATCTTGGTGAGGTACTTTACCGGCTTTTTATATTTCTGGCTTATAAGTATACGTGATGATCGTGATAGAAAACATCTCCTGACATGACATCGGCGTAAAGAAGATGTTCCGTTTTCGTGCATCTCCACGGTGACCTTTCTTTAATTAAAATATGTTTAATTAGAGTTTTTGATAAATGACAAGGCCTTGTTTGGCCTTGAAATTGGACCTGTGGCTCGAAATTGAATTCAAACCAAAAGCAATATTATCTGTGTGCATCATCATAATATATAGATCTAGCCAGGGCTAAAAGCGAAGCTCCCATTAATACATTTAAAATATAGCTTTAGCCAGGGCTAAAAGCGAAGCTTCCGTTAATAAATTCATAATTTAAATCAAACAATAAACTTGTAATCCACAGATCAGGACACATTCATGTGACTTTTGAGGCAAAGGCTAAGTGATTTTAGAGAATGCAGATAATTTGACAGTCCAAGAGTGAAACAAATTTTACATCGAGTTAATAGTCATATTTGTACACGCAAAAATAGCAATGATGTTCGATCACAGTAGATAGGCCTGGAAAACAAATACACCTATTCGTGTATTGTATTTGAATAAGCTGTTGCATCATGATGTGGCATTCACCAGTCTCTCCAAAATTGCTCCGTTTGAGAGGCTATGGATAATTCGACAACCCCGAAATATAATTTTAAGAAACACACGCGCCACGATAGTCCTTGGTGGCAGCCAATTTACTCGTTGCAATTTCCACTGTCTAAAAGAGAGGCCAAAATAAAAAATCAGGCCGGATTTTTTGTGTTCGACAAGTTTACTTCACAAGTAACATGACGAGATTCATAGAGATCTGAAATCATAGACCCCTGCTGATGTTCGCCTATTCAATAGGCGAACATCAGCAGGGGAGCTCTGTAGAAGTAATCAACTTTTTACGGCTCATTTACTTGGAGGTGACAAATTCTCATATCAACGGAATTCCTGTACGTCAACAAGATTTCGGTTCAACAAAAACACTCAGCTACAAATTAGCCGCATTGGAAGTCTTTCTGCCGAACCGGAATGCATTTGCCTCTGTAGTGGCTTCTCTTAAAATTTATTGCACTTCAAGAAGAGTGATTTTACGCACTTCTTACTGGGGACTTTTCCATTGTATATTTTGTTTAGTTGTATTTATTAAACACTAAGCGCCAGTTATTTAACTGGTATATTACAAAATCGCGTCATAATTAGGCCCTTTTCTGTTTAACCAACGCTTTTATCAAACCCCATTTATCGTGAATAATTTCAATACAGCATATAAGGCAGACTGGAAAACTAAAGCACTTATTTTCTTAAACTAACCCACCAAGAAAGAGGCCTGGAGGTCCAATGATTTCTGAAACCGCGGCCTAAGGTAACCCGTAATGGTTTGAAAGTAATGTCAGTCTATTTTCTTTTTGCCTCTCTCGCAAGTGAAAGTAAGAGTTCACAGAGACTGTGCGGTTTTCTCGAGTGCGTTTTAGAAGCTGCCTTAACGGAAAGGTTACTACACTACCGGAATTAAAACATCGAGGAAATTATTAATTTAAAGCCGCGGAGTATTTCCCGCTACAATGAATAATATTACCTCTAACTTTCTGCGATAACACTGCAAGATATTTCAGATTATTTTTCAACTGAATAGGCTGCGAATTTAATGCGATGATCATGTTCACTTTCATACCTTCATCCGCATTTCAAGTCCACTTTCAAATATTTAAATTCATGCTTACAAGATCTCTCTAATTTTATGTCTGAACGCAAGGCTTTTTTTAATGGAAACTTCATTCAAGGGCAGAACTAACACTAAGCGCCAAGCCGAAACTGCCTTATGAAAAAACTTTTAAAGTTGACACGCTGTTTTAAAGGCCTCACTGGATCTGGATGGGGCTAAATACAAACGTAAGCGAAACACTAATTTTGCAATATTTAAATAATGTCTAAAAAATAAAGCTTCCCTCTGAGATACCTGGTCAATAAAATTCTCACAGATCCACAACCTAAAAAGGCTAAGCTGTTCTGTTGAATCAGGAAGGCCAAACTTTTTGTCTTAATGCTGGTCAGAGATTCAAACAATATCTAAAAGCGCGTTTTTAGTTCCCTCTGAGACACCCGGAGAATAAAATTCTCACAGAGCCACAGCCTAAAAAGGCTAAGCTGCTCTGTTGCATCAGGAAGGCCAAACTGTTTTACTTAATGTGGGGCATGCATGCACTATCATCTTCACAGATCTAATCAGTTCAAAATTAAATAAAGCTTTAATCTGTAAATCAATGTTTGGTTTATGAAATTTTACTCACTTTTACTGACTGTTGATAGCCACTGGCTTTGGCAAAATAAATTTTCCTGTTTTCTTAAAAGGGATTCGATAAAATTGAAAATATCCACTACGATCCACACTTAAAAACTAAACTCTGACTCTTTTGCGATCAGGCTTAAGAAATAGTGATCTCCATCAACATTCTCCATGAACATTACACTTTCACATCATTAGCAGTTATTGAGAATTTATGAAATGATCGAGTGATCAGTGTCGACCTTAAAACGTTTTTGTGCTAAAATGATAATAGGTATCCATTTGAAGATGATACAAAGGAACCCAAAATAGACTTACCAAGTTTCGGCCGATGTTTAGAAAATTGAAAAGGGCTGGAGAGCATCACCGTTCAGGCTAAATCCAGTCAGCGACCCTTAATAAAAATCATTTAAGCCTACATAATCAACAACGACGTGAATGCCCGAGTTTCTGACTTGACGGTCATCTGCCACCGTCAGGAAATCGTACTATATTGCTTCTCGAATGAATCCCTCATTTTAATTTCCCCAATTCATTGATCCACGACCAAGTACCTTTTCAAGATCTTCTCCGCACGACGAAACGCTTTCTCTGACTTCTCTGACCGCTTCCTACTATATTTTCTAGTAGCTGGAAGGAATTTAGTCCTTTTTTGATCGCTTTAAACCTGCTTTCGTCTGCATTTTATCGGCGCAAGTTAAAGGCTCGTGCCAAGGTTGAAACGACAACAACATGATCTCTTTCCTCTTTGAAAAACCAAACCTTGATGGGTTGACTCGAGCGCCAGTACTATCTGTACTATCGACCAAATCATAAATAGCTATAAACAGTATAAATAATCGGCCCTGCTACTTCCAAACATCATCTCTACATAAAAAGCATA